GCCTCGTCAGAAAATATATATATATATATATATACACACACACACACATTTTTTTTGCTAAAGATTACTGTAAAATTTAGCACAGAAACGTGCAATTTCTTGAGGATTACTACTAGTGACTGTCCCCCGAGATGTAGAGTTTCAGTTAATGAAGTTCTTAAGCGACTCTTTTCTAATCTGAAAAAATATGCTGAGTTGCATTCTCCCTCCTCCATCCATTTTTGTCTAGATCAGGGGTGGGCAAACTTGGCCCTTCCAGGTCACTTTCCTTCAGAGTTTAGCTCCAGCTCTAATCAAACACCTGAACCAGCTAATCATTGTCTTCAAGACTACTAGAAAGCTACAGGCAGGTGAGTCATATCAGGGTTGGATCAAATCTCTGCAGGAAAGTGGCCTGGAAGGGCCAAGTTTGCCCATCACTGGTCTAGATCTTACCCTGTGCCCTATAAGTGTACATCTCATCTAATTTAGATTGCAGGTCAGCATACTCAAGCTTGTAAGATTCAGAAGAAAGTATTGCAAATTTAGACACCACCTTATTTTCTTCTACTCTTTTAAGTTTAGCTAAATTACTACTGACTTACTAATTTATAGAAGCAGCTCTAGGGGGAAACATATCCAAATCACTATTTAATATCACATTGAAATCCACCACCTAAAATAAGAACAGCATTGGGGCATTTATTTACCCAGTACTGTATAATTCAGTGATCACATCCATTAAGGTGGTATTTTCTTTAGAAGAATTATACCCATACATGGTCTGGCCAAGTGAAACCAAAAGAAAATGACCCCTGGGATCGCTGGTAAGGTGTAGTATCTCACCAGCAAACTCATTTTTAAAATGGTGACACCCGCTGATCGCTCGGTGCCGTGAGACATCCATACATCACTGCCCCACTGCGATCTCCAAAATGTAACATCATCCTGTGTGGAATGGGTTTCTTGAAAAAAAGCAAAATTCTGATCCATGGTTTTTAACAAACAAACGAAAAAGGGCTTTGCGCTTCACATTGTTTCTTAGACCCTTGGCATTAAGAGAAATGAACGATATCAACTTTGATAAACGAACAGCAATGAACAGCTGTTAACAAGAATCAAAACAAAGGCAAAAAGTCAAAATTGACTGATGGATGAAATTTTTTTTTGAGATGAACAGAGCTTAGATGACCATTTTAAATAACCAGATTAAAGGTCCAGCTGTAATACGATGATAGCTCAAATGTCATAGTGACAGGTAACAGACACCATAGAAAAAAGTTATAGTACACGATCCTCATGATGGAACTCAAAGTAATCTCCGCAGCTTCAATGAACTCACGCGCTCCGATGTAATAAGACACTTTTCCAGAAGCCCTCACCTCTCTCACTCTAGGCCACAAGCTCTTCCGTCTCTCCCAGTCTAGTGAAGTCAGATCCTCTGCGAAGCGCAGGTTGTTGTCTTTGAGAAACTGGGACTTCTTGGCAGCTTTTCATAAGGCATCACGGATAACCCTTGAGGTAAATTGCATGATAATGACAGAAGGTTTTGTGTTGTCA